GGAAAACACAAAGCAGATGTGATATTTTTCATTTCAATAGAAGATCTTTTTGGTAAGCTAAATTAATCATGAGGTCTCCAGCTCTTGGTCAATTTTAATTTGCCGGTAACTGGCGTTTTAAACGAAAACTGAGTCATAGTTTTTCAGTGAGCTCCCTCTGCTGGCTTTCTAGTAGTAAAACACAAATAGGTGTAAGCAATGACCTCTAAAGATACTCAAGAGTTGGGGCATCTTTCTTTAGCCTGTCTTCCCAAAACAGTGCCTAGTTGAGAATACCTAACCAGTAACTAAGGACTAATCCACCAACGTGGAAGAATATCTTACACGTTACCAGGGATTTGAACAAAACCGCTTCGGTTTTTTTTTTCCTGCCAGTTGTCTTCAAAAGTGAAATTGGAAGTGCCTTCAACCAGTGCCTTTATTTTTATATAGTGGTGTGCAGAATACTTGTCAGAACAGCAGAAGTATTTTAGGAGGAAGGTTGTTTTGACTTCAGAAACTGGCAGTGTTTAGGCACTAAATGCTTAGGCTCTTTACCATGAATAATAACGGCATGATAGCTTTTGACGCTCTTGTATTATTTAAGAAATTACTAAAGTCTTCCCAAAACAGTGCCTAGTTGAGAATACCTAACCAGTAACTAAGGACTAATCCACCAACGTGGAAGAATATCTTACACGTTACCAGGGATTTGAACAAAACCGCTTCGGTTTTTTTTTTCCTGCCAGTTGTCTTCAAAAGTGAAATTGGAAGTGCCTTCAACCAGTGCCTTTATTTTTATATAGTGGTGTGCAGAATACTTGTCAGAACAGCAGAAGTATTTTAGGAGGAAGGTTGTTTTGACTTCAGAAACTGGCAGTGTTTAGGCACTAAATGCTTAGGCTCTTTACCATGAATAATAACGGCATGATAGCTTTTGACGCTCTTGTATTATTTAAGAAATTACTAAAGTCTGATGCATGCGCTTGCTTTATTTAGTTTTGCTGCAACTACATTGTTGTGCTTATCTTTTAATGCTGCCACTCTTTGGAAGATGAGGACAAGGAAGCCTCCCTGCCCGGTAGAAAAAGTGTGGGTAGACAAGCACAAATATGATGAAGCAGAGAGACTGCATTACGAAAGAGAAGCGATGCTAGCTGCTGCGGCCCCTGAGGAGTGCCAGGAGGTAGAGGCTGTAAACGGAGTCTGCAATGACGACTCTGTTGAGAGTGAATTCAAGGGAGACCTGAAGAGAGCAAGGAATGGAAAGAAACAAAGGAAACGGAAGCGTTCTCCAAAACCCAGAAACGTGGCCTCCAAATTAGACTCTATTCTGACTGGTTTGTTAGCTGACCATGTGTGGTTTGACAAACCTTTCTATGATCACGCTGAGAACGTGTACAGAAAAAAAATAGTGGATTGTCAGAACGAGGAGGCACCTGAGACTTCACTAACTGCTGAGCAGTCCCCTTTAGTGATCAGGTCAAAAGCTGTCCAAGATGTTCCTAAGTCAAGGATGCTTTCAGCAGCCCTGCCCTGCTCCCATGGTAGTCTGTCTGCGTGTCACCATGTTGTTCAGGATGTCTGGGTCAACAAGTTTGACTTTGATAAAGCCGAGGAGGTGTTTATTGAAAAATCTCAGTTCTTTGTTCCTCCAAATGTCCTAACCATCCCGTCTGTGTGGTCAAATGCTGGCAATGCTGGGCTGAGGACGCCGGATGAGGGCTACGTTACAGCCCTGCCTACTCCTGCTACGCCAAGCTTAGCTCCAGACGTTGTTGCTGATTCTGCTTCTTCCTTCGTTACCAGTTTGCCTGGCTCTGTACACCAGACAGTAAATGGTAAGCCGCAGATTTCAAGCTTGCAGGCTCTCATGTCAGAGGTGTGGTTAGAGAAACCTCTTTATGATGATGCTGAGAAGAGCTTCTATGAGAACATGTTTGATGGTCATCCATCAGGCAAAGTCAGACAGCAGCAACGTGGCTGCCCCGAAGCATTGAAGAACCACCACGAGGACAGGAAGAACCACAGCGCTGGAAAGCAAGTGGACATCAAACACGTGGAGATTGCCACCAACTCTCTGCTTCCCAGTGATGCTGAGCAACCTCCGCCTACCTGCTTTTTCCTGCATGAGGACAGCGAAACTGTGTGGCTTAATAAGCTGACATATGACAGCGCCGAGTCACGATACTATGCAGCTGAGGCTCTGAAGATGTCGAGAGCAGGAGAGAGTACGGGGATGCAGGAATCTGCAGTAGTAAAACCCTCCCAACCAGCTGCTTATGCTTCAAGCGTACCTGCGCCAGAAATGAAGTAGGAGAAGTTTATTCTGGGGTAACACTCACACATGCAAAACTGCCGGGTCAGGATTGAGCTGAAAGAATTTGCATGTGTAGAAGACGGGCGTCTTTGTGTCTGCAGGACTGGGCGTGCATGCAGCTGTAGGGAGATGCTGCTCCTGAGCCAGGGAGCCTGTTCGTGGGCAGGGTAACTAGGGGGAAACTCCTTCAAGGAGCCCTCTTCTCCTGATGAATGCTGGTGGCTAAAGCACCCCCATGAAAAAAGGTAGTCATTTGTGTGGTGCCAGAGAGGTTAAGCATTTAAAGTCAGGGCTGGGAAGCGAGCTAAGGTTTGACCCCCTCTTTACACGGGAGAAGCCCAGGGCCATGCCACTTTCCGTATTCCTATTACATACAAAAAGCCATCATCAAAGTGAGAAGTTGGAGGGAGTAATCAGGTGTTTTAAACATGCCTGCTGAGACAGCAGAGGATGCGGTGTTTTGTCTTTGAATTTGAGAAATTAAAGCAGTGGTTATTTGCTGTGTATTTCTGTTAAAATACCACAAGGTCCTTCAGAGAAGCAGTTATCCTCTATTCTCCTGCAGAGCACATGAGCTGGTCATTGAGCTCCACGTGAGAGGTGACTACGTTTGAGCATCACTACCACTATCCAGCTTGAAAGGCGGCTTGGGGATGACCGTGAAATACAATTTAGGGCGTCAGTCTGGTGTGAGCATGTGCTGTGTTTGCTTCATTGCAGGAGAAGGTTGCCTTTCTAATTTTTTAGACCATTTGGTCTGGAAGCTGCTATTAATTTTGGGACAGGGCTAGCTGGATTACAGCTCGTTTGATGTGCATGTATGTAGCTGGGCAGGAAGAGTGCATTCTCAAATTGTAGGTGACCTTCATAGTTGTATCTTGCAGTTACGGATCAGTTTACAGACAAATGTTTAAAGGCTTCTTTTTAAGTCCTGGACAAGGTGCAGTATGATACTGTGCTTTCTGTGTTAAAAATGTGCTTTTATATAGGACTGCCTGAACCCTGAAGTCCAGGGCTGTAACGCCTTGGGAGCCTGTCCGAAGGCCAGTGCTTAGATGTTATTTTGCGGTCACTGTTCTTGGAAAAAAGGCTCTTGGAGCATCAGTCCTTATTTCCGACACTTCTGATCCTTGAGTTTCTTAGGATTTGTTGGAAAGTTTTAATATCTTTGTCAAGTGATACGGGGGGTTACAGACGAGCTTTAGAGCACACATGCCTTTTACCCTGTCCTATTTGGGATAATTTTCTCTTTAGTTGGACAGAACTAGGTATTTGGTCATGCCTTTCACCCTTCCCTGGAAAAGTCCATGTGTCATTGTAAAATACATGGCATAAGTTTGTCTGTAACTGGGATTGTCTATTAATGATACTAGTTGGCAGCTCAAGCAGGGTCTTGGAGGGTTGAGTGCTGGGAATGGCTTCAATGTAGAGGACCTGTATGGTGTGGCGACCTCTGGTCTCTTCTGAATGGGTAGATGAGAAGGGTGCTTGTTTTACAAAAGACTCATCTGTTGGCTTCCATGGAAATGTTTTACTGGAGAGCTGCAGCGTTTTGAGCTGATAAGGAAAGGGTTTGCGGGTTGCTATTAGTTGCGCTCTCCGTGTTGTGTGGTGGAACCTGGTAATGGTGTGGTTTCGTTGTGATGCTCTATCCCTGCTCTCACCACCTCCTCAAAACGATGTTGGCTCTGTAGCTGTTCCCTGGCTTGAAATAAGGGCACATCCTCTTCTCTTACTGTTGCCAGGGCTCCATCATTTGCCTTCAAGTTAAGAAATTAAACAACCTTTGGAAGCTGCTGCACTGAAGAAAAATAACACCATTTCACAGCAGTGTTAGGATGTCTTATGCTGTTCCTCCTTGTAGTGACAGGTATCTGTCCCTTGCAGGTGTTGCCTTGCTGATGATTTTAATTTCTAAACAGTTGCAGCAGCTTCCAAAAGGGCAAGTGTGCAGTTACCTGGGGTGCCGTTGTAAATTGTGTGTGTGTCTGGATTCCTGGAGGGTGGTCGGTGTCAGGCGGTATGCTGTGCCAGGCTGTTCCTTACAGGAGGATGCGGTGGTGCACCTAGTGAAGCATGGCATGACCAGGTAGACATATGTACTAGCCTAAGACAGCCAACAGTTGCTGTCAACGCAGTTGAGTCATGTTCAAGGATGACTGAAATGCGTTTAAATTTGTGAGCTGTAGTGTCAGGAGTTGCCTGTCACATACAGAGTGCTCCCTGGTTGGCACGCTGTAGCGTGGCACGTGCTGCTTGGAGCTGCGTATTCGTCAGTCTTTGGTTTCGCCGTGGCCAGGCGTCTTAAGAATTAAAAGCGTTACTCCCTTTTTGATTCTCATACACAAGGCATCTTTCTTAGCAGCAGATTCCCATGTGTCTAGCATGATCTAGAAAATCCTGCTCTGAAAGCTTTTTTGTGGAAGAAGGTACAGATCAGCTGACTTATTCTGTCCCCACTTGGTGTCCTGTCACCAAATGCAGGTCAGGCCAGGCAGACGGGTGGGTGATTAGACTGCCCTGCTTTCTTAATAGGATCCTGTTTACTTAAAGCTTTCCACCGGAGGGGAAACCGCTGAGCAGAGAGCTGCAGGCACAGCTCTATGGGGGAAGAAAACGCTCTTCTGACAAGTTCATTGCAAGCTGCTAACCTTAAGTACATCTAGGAACTCACTTTGGGTTTTTTTTTTCCTTTCTGCAGAAAAATGGCAGTGGACTACTTTTTGCATGAGAAGATCTGGTTTGAGAAATACAAGTATGACGATGCTGAGAGAAGATACTACGAGCAGATGAACGGGCCAGTTAGCAGCTCTTCACACCAGCAGGTAATGCTCGTTCTCAGATGGGGTTTAGCAGAGTGCTGGAGCTTTAAGAGCTAGTACGGAGCAGGCGAAAGGACACGATCCTTTCCTTTCTCAGAAAAATGGCAGTGGACTACTTTTTGCATGAGAAGATCTGGTTTGAGAAATACAAGTATGACGATGCTGAGAGAAGATACTACGAGCAGATGAACGGGCCAGTTAGCAGCTCTTCACACCAGCAGGTAATGCTCGTTCTCAGATGGGGTTTAGCAGAGTGCTGGAGCTTTAAGAGCTAGTACGGAGCAGGCGAAAGGACACGATCCACCTGGACGTGCACTTTTGTATTATTTCCACTCTTGGTGCTGCTTTTTCCAAGTGTGAGAGTCTTCTCTGGAGCTCTCTGAGCCTACCCCCAGTTATGACCCCTTTTGAAAGACCATCTTCTGTGGACTGTGAAGAATTTCTCGAGTACCACCAGCGTACTGCGAGATCAGACACCTTTGTAACAACAGACAAACCAGTTATAGGTTGCAGCAGTTGCTCCTAATCTTTTCAGGCTGCTATGACATATGACAGAGCACGGATGCTATCTGTGATCTAATGGGGGCACGGTTTGAGCTGTAAGCCCAGAGAGCTGCAGTTCCGTTGACTGGGCTGGGCGAAGAATTGACCTGTCCCCATTCAGCCAGGGAAGATGCTGTTTTGCTGCGGTTTTGGAGCAGCTAAGCTTTCCTTGGCAAGGGATATATCAACCCAAGCCATTCTATGATTCTATACTGGGTATATATGACATGATGTTTGAAGAGAGGCACCGTGGCTCCAAAGAGACCAGGAATTATGTTCCTCTCTTTGTACCCCCTGCAATATTCGGTGTGCTTCTGCAGAAGACTGCATCACAGTACTGGTGAGTTGGGGGGAGCAGGTGGAGGGGAAGCCTGGTGCTGCTGCAGCACACCTGAGCTGAAGTAGTTCAAGCTTAAATATTAGCCCGAAATTATTACTGTTTAAAGGTACAGAGCTATTGTAACCTCTTCCTGCCATGTAAAGAGCTGTTAACTGCTTATGCATTTGGTTGGTTATGTAGAAAGCTGCTTAGAGTTTTAAATGGCTGTCTTGCAAGTGTTACTTAAGCTTTTTGCTTAAGTAGTAGCTTCTAGGCACACTCTGTCTATTCCTGCTGCCCATGCTAGTACAGTGGTGGCACAGCACCTAGGACATGTGCATAAAAATTAGAAGCTATAGATAAGCCTTGAAGTAGATGTTAAAAGTGCAAACCTCTGCAGTGCTCTTAGGACAGTTAGACTATTTCATGCCACGTAAGGAGCTTCCAGTGAAGAAGTTCTGCCTTTGAGAGGTGGTCTGAAGGCTCTGGGGGAGATCCTGCAGCAGTTTATCAGCCACTTCCCTGCTAAGGAAAAAGATTCACGCTCCTTAAAACCTTCCTGCAACCTGGAAGTGGTATCCACCTGAATGTGTCCAGGCTGTTGCTCTTGTATGGTCTGTTTGACACAGGGTTTTGGGCTTGTGGGCAGTTTTATGTCTCCGATCTTGCTTATGGGGTTGCAGTCTGGGAGAGGCAAGGACTTAATGGATCACGGAAACTGAATTTGTGCCCTAGGAAGGGAATCTTCAAATCCAGGCTAAGGCACGGCAGCAGGAGGATGGGGGGAAAAAAAAAAAAACTTGTGCTGCTCTACTCTGGGCCGTACCTCTCTGGATAGAAGACTTCAGTTAGGGCTGTCACTTCTTGCCTGAATACAATGACAGGTAATACTAAGAAAAAGAGCTGCCTAACGATAGATCTCTAAGGAGCACTGAAGTGACTCCAACCCTCTGCCTGGCTGGCAGCTGTCCAAACCACTCAGGGCAGTAATAGAGAATTTGAAAAGCTCTTGACTGGATGATCTTCTGGACACGTGGCCTGATGTGACCAGGGATTGCAGTTGGTGCTGCTTGATTTAGATCCAATCCTTGCAGCTAATTTTGCAATACTTGCTGAATCATTGGAAGGAACCCTCCCCCACTCTTACCCTCTTTTTTTTTTTTTTTTAACTTCCCTGACTGGTTCCCATGTTTCATATCTTTTTAAAAAAAATCTTGGTTCTTTCTGCACTGTTTGCAGGAGAACGGAGCCAGCACGATCCTACGCGACATTGCCAGAGCCAGGGAGAATATCCAGAAATCGCTGGCCGGAGTGAGTACCCAAGCTCTCTCACCAGCTGGCTACCCGCAACCATTTTTAGCTGTGGTGCATCTCACAGAAGTCCGCTGTGACCACTTCATAGATTGTGTGGCTTCTTATTTTTAAGTTAGAGAAGACTAAGGTGTGCAGCGCTGTGTACCGCCAGCATAGCTCCATCTGATCAAGAGCACCGTTACTACTAGAGTGCATGCTGCTTACCTGCTTGCTAGCCTGCAGTGCTTTTTAAAACTAACTGGATTTGGGTTAAAATTCTTCGCTGTGCATTTCTTTTCTTTTTCTCCTGGTGGAATGTTCCCACAGGTCTTACCTAACAAGTTACGAGTCGCTGTTAAAATAACCTTGCTGGGTAGCAAAGCACTGAGCTGCCAGCAGGAGTACGTATGTCTCTCGGAGTACACTGAGCTGCCACCTTCTCTTTCCTGTTTCGCTTTCGGTCAGGGTATGTGCAAAAAAATGGTGTCTTCCATCTGCTGCATCTAGGGAATTCAGCTTGGCTACTAGCTCTAAGTCTGGACCATCCTGTAGAAGTTCAGTAACATCCTTTCTGGAGGTGTTTTTGTGCTGATATGTACAGACAGCACTGTTAAAACTCTTAATTTTTCAAGAGGAAGCTGAGATCTTAAATTAGTAAGTGGACTGGTTTCATGGGTGAAGAAAATTCACAGAATACAGCCCATGTGTCTTGATTTCTTACCTCTGCAGTGGGACTACTACATACCTGCACATATCTTCCATCTGAGGGTATCCATCCTTTATCTATATTGATTTGGCCTCATAACTCCCTCTTGGGATATTTAACACCCTCAGTTTCTATCTAGGTAAGTACAGTAAAGGGAATCGAGCCTTCCTCAAGGGGAATATTTCATATTCTTCCTTAACACAAGCAGAAAGGAACGATACATTTGGGGTGAATGCGAAGGAGTTAGGCTAATTGCTTTCCCCATGGTGGTCTCACTGTGCCTGTTGAACTTGACACTACAAAAGCAACTTCTGCAACCGCTCATGTGAGTGATCCAAGATACTCAGTACTGCACTGGAAGCTTGGAAGTGGATGCAGGAAGAGCAGGGCAAATCTGATGATTAAATTTGGTTAGATTCAGTGGTCCCGAGTACAGCCTGATGAGAATCAATGGAAAGTTGGGACATCTTAGTAATATTAAAAGCAAACCAAAACACATTGAGGAGGAAAATACTTGGAAGTTTTCTAATGCTAGTTTCTTACTTCAGCATCCGTGTTTCAGCCAACAGCTTAGGGAAGATTTTCCTGAACTGGCTCATTTAAGTTCAGATCTAAAATAACATGTTTGCGCTTTCAGTAGTGACTATCAGCCCCTGTCGAAGACTTTCAGTTTGGCCTTTAATAAGGCAAATACGTGAGGAAATGAGCCCCTATCCCAGACAGGGTTGGAGAACTTTTTGCATGGTGTTAAATGACTTTGGAAAGACCTTTTCAAACTGGGCAAGGTCTAGCAGCAGCTGCTTTCTCTAAGACCGGCCTCCTTCAGGAGCAGAGGCTGGATGTGGTGAGTAGGGACAGGAAACCTAAATACAAATCACCTGGCAGGGCTGCTGGTCTGCCCTGAAGGCATATTCTCATCTTGCTGAATGGGCTGTGGTTTGCCAAAGATGAGGAGTTTCTTGCCCTGGCCTGTGACTCCTGTTAAAGAACTTCTTTGTGTGAGAAGCATGTAAGTTTGGATCGTCCAGGTCCTGTAATGGGGGGAAGACTGGGGGAACTGGCAAAGCACCAGACCAAAGCCAGAACAAATTTGAGAATATAAAGTCCTTTGCACCCCTGTGGCACTTGTTGGGATTAGTGCTGAATATAAAAAATTCATCTGCTGGATTTTTTTTGTGCCTGTGAAGAAAGCTTGGCGGGCTTGAGGATTTAAGGTCAGGACTGAGCCATAGGGCCTTAAAACTGGAATCTGGGGTGTTGCAAAAAGTGGATTGGGGCTCTCCATTGAAGGCCTGAAAGAAAAGCATTATGTACTGCACAACTGTATTAGAGAAAGCATTGTGCACTCTAATCTGCATTGCTGTCAGGGGCACTCCATAATTTATCTAACCTATACCTGCCATTCTGCTCCCAAAATATGCAGTTGCCTAGATAAGCAGAGCAGGTGGCAACAGTGACCTTCTCCTCCTTTCTGTTTTGTAGTCTTGTTTAACTGATTGTGCCTTACCCTGGCTTATACGATACCCTGGAGAGCCCACCTTTTAAGTTTTTCCACACATTGCCACATCTCTGCCCTGGAACCTGAAGCGGTAAACCACGGTTGGATCTTCTGTGTTAATGTGCGAGTTAGAAAGACTGAGCTGTCGCGAAATGAGTCCGAAACATCAGTTTTTGTAGCTTGCATTTCTAAAGGGTCATCATTAATCTTGGACGGCCATGGCATAAAGCAGGCTTGACTTAAGAACATGCTTAAACTTTGTTTTTGTTTCAGAAAGCCAAATTTATACTATCTGATCTACAGAACAGTGAAGCATGTTTCTATAGTCAGGATTTAGTCTTTCCTTCCGCCTGAACATGCAGAGTTATTGTCAGGAGTCTGAAGATGTAGCAAGTGAAGAGTTGGCTCTTTTAAGATGGGAAGATGGAAGATTAGTGCCTTTCTTTTGCTGTGAAATTCAGCCAAGGCTAGTTTCAGATCTGCTTCAGCTGGATAATGTTGTTCTGAAATGTGTGAATGAGCATTAGAAGGGTTGAGGCAGTGGTTTGTACCTCCCGAAGGAGGGTACAAAGCTCTGATGCTGGAAACATTTGTTTGCACATACCTTTCATCCCGCTTTGCATGGTCATCTCTGCTTTAAACAATCTCTCGGCTGACATCTGCTCGATCGCTAATGCTTTCCTAGATATAAAGTTGTTAACATGTGCAGTACTGCAGCTGGTGGCATTGAGACTGCAGGCGGTGAGAAATCTTACAGCTGGGGACCTGAGGCACGGAAAGGATTGACTTGCCTGAGGTCATAAGCAAGTCCAACAGAGTGAGTGACTGAATTCTCACTTCCTAAACCCTCTTCGGGGGCTGTAATGGAAGGGGTCTCACTGGGTAGGTGGCTGGTGTGGGCGTCTGAAGCTCTGTTATTCCCCTCTCTGCCCAAGCTCCCTCTTACAAAGCCTCTGTATTTGTGCGTTTCCTGTGTGTGGGTTTCAAACAAGAAAAGCTCCCAAAACCCCTCTGATCTTGCTAAAGTACCTGGAGACCGCATTCAGAAACACATCTGTGCGCAGGGAGTGGTCAGACCTTCTGTAGGAAACCAGCCAAGATCCATCCTGCTGGTCTTAGGCGGGGGAAAGCCTCTTCTAGTTCTTCAACATCGTTTCCCCACAGTTCAATTTTGTGTTATCTGACCATGGCTAAACTTTCCATGTTTCCAGAGCTCAGGTAGACCGACCTGAGGGGAAGGGTGTTGTATTTCTGCATGCACGAAATAAGTTTATTTTTTGGATGAAGCTATGAGTGCTTTGTGAGCTCTGGACTGGAAAACCTACACATCACATCTGTAACCGCGCCTGTAAAATCTGCACGCTGTTCTTTGTAACTGGTTAACTCAAATTAAGGGAAAAGGGCCGATACCTCCAGGTACTTCTTGCAGTGAGGGAAGTGCCACCTTTCCAGCTGTGTCCGTTGGTTGGGCCTGACATACCAAGGGAGGAGATTTTACCTGTAATTGTCCAGACAGATTTCTTTCAGCTGATATGGAGAAGTATAACTTTTGCCAATTTTTTCTTCATCAGTCAGTGTTCTTGTCTCTGATTTTTCAAGTATGTTTTAGACAAACTTTAGAGAGGGACAGATGTTCAAAGCCCTTTGAGGCTGAGGCTAGATTCTATTTCCTACCCTTCATAAGCCCCAGGGTTTTAATTTGCTCAGACGATTAAATTTATATGCAGTCCTTGGTGTGGTTCCAGACTTGCTGAGTGCTTCTGCTATGCAAAATATTTTGAATAGGTTGCAGCACTGGTCAGTGTATCACTAATGTGTGTTCAGCACAAAAGCTATGGCTTAAGCTTAGAAAAAACAAAGGTTTTAAGAGCTCCGTCCGTGAGACAACGCAGAGGAAGTGACTGAAGTGATGCTCTAGAACACCCCACCTTTGGGATTTTGAATTACTGTCCTTGATAAAATTCACAAACACTTGTGTCGAGCTTCCTCTTGGCATAGTAAAGTCAGGAGAGGAAATAGTGCTTGGTTGTGCAGAGGAAAAAACACACTGTAGGTAGTGTGTAGCTTAGGTTGGTGACCACATCTCTAAAAGCTTGAAAAATCCTCACCTCAGGGGAAAGCCCACAGTCCCATAAAGGCAACTTTACCACAATTTCTTGAACGTGTGGCTTGACCACCTCCCAGAATTGGGAACTCGGTTCAGCATTGTGCCTCTTATACCGTGCTTTACACGGTTACAGGTTCCCAAAGGACAGCTGGCCTGGTTTGTGAAGACTTAATCTCTTGTTTGTTTGAGCTTGGAGCAGGCAACCCTCTCTTCTTGCCAGCAAGAGATGGCTGTGCTCAGGCTTGCCCTGCCCTGGGGTTGCCCAAGACTAACAAGTAATGTCTGAATTGCACGGGGTGTTGGTTTAAATGCTGTGCCATGTCTGTGAGCACTGTGAGCCTTCTTCCTGTTGTAAACCTCCCTTTTAAACAGGCGTGAAAAATGCAGCACGGAGGAGCAAGTGAATCCTGGTTTAGGGTTAGCTTATCGTATGTAATACGCTGAATCCATTTGTCCAGGTGCACAACAATGAACTATGAACTATTCACATGAATTTTGTGGGTGTTTAACCTGTAGGTGCATCCAGGTTGTTAAACTTGCCATTTCTGCAGAGGCCTCAGTAGCAACTTGCAGCTGAGAAATCCCGGAGGTGAGACGGCTCCCCACGGAGCCACCCAGATATCTGTCCTTGTAGCTCCTCGAGCGCCTGTGCTACCTGTATTACCGCATACTGATGGGCAGGCGCATACTTAAATGCCCCACTGAGAATGCTGACTCTCCTCTGGGCTTCATTTTTGCAACCTTAATGTTGTCTCACCTGCAGGCTCAATGTAAGCTGGCAAAGGAAGGATGAAAAGGAAAGGAATTTGGGCATTGTAGAGCTCTTGCTTTGCGCAGTTCCCTGGGTGCTACACAAAGCTTTACAAACAGCACCTGACAGCAATATACAGCTAGGCTTGTATTCTAGTATTTTATACTACTCAAAAGGTCTGTTGAAATAACAAAATGTCATTTTTCCACGCTCTTCCTTGTTGAGAACAGCTTCATGCAGAGCAGAGTATTTCAAAGTCCTCTCACCTTGCTCTTGCAAGCCATAGCTACAGTATTTTGAGGGAAAGTGGCCGTGATTTTCTCAAACTCTTCCCCTAAGTGACGCAACCACACAAGGCTGGCAGGTTTGTCTTGAGCTGGAGGCCTTCTGCCAAGCTGTAGCTGTTTTTCCTGCAGGACTACAGGGAGGAGCAGTGCTGACCTCCAGGATGGCAGCTCACAAGTGTCAAGGTAGATGGTACTGCCTCAATTTAGATTTCTCATCTTTGAGGAGTTATTACTAACAGGGAAGAGAAATGAGGAGGCACAGCTGGCTTCTGTGGAAAATGCTTCCACTAAACCTGAGAGCCAGGGTTTAAAAGCGGGCTGTTCTGCAGCACCGAATAGGCGTAGCTGTCTTGCAGCGTCTCGGAACATCCACGGTCGTGCGCAGGATAGCCAGTTACCAGGGCAAACGCAGAGCCTGCTGAAATGCTTCAGCGTTTGGCTTGAAAATGTGACTAGGGCTTCAAACTGCCAAATATCTGTGGTGCTTGCTGCTTAGCTGAATCAGCAGGCTGCTTTTGGAAAAAAACCCAGCTGTGTATCTCTTTGCAGGTGACACAGCTCTTGTGTTTGATCATGAGTCAAAACAAGAAGTGCTTTTTCAGGAGGCGGGGTGGATGTGACTATTGCCAGCATTCACTTTTCACTGAACTAACTTAGACCTTGGCCCTGATGGTGTAACTAGAACAGGAAGAGGTCAGGCAACGAGTTCATCTGAGGTTTAATTTTTGTCCTTGGTGTATAAGGCTAGGGCTAGCCTGGTGTGATAAGCCCACCGTGGCTAGCAGCCTCTGTTCTGGTGGTGCGTGTGAGGATGGAAGCCCATGCAGGGGTCTCATCAAGTTGTTAGTGCAGACTGGTGGTGTGTTGCTTTATTCCTCCCTGGGCGAGATGCGTTAGTGGTAACTGGGAACTTGTTAAGAGTATTGGTAACTTTGCATGTGTTCCTGCATCTGTCAGATATTAGATTTTATCTAATGGCAGGAGAACTAGCAGAGATGACGGTGCGTGCCGCAGTAATGCATGCACCTGCCGTACCTCTGATTTTGCAGATGGGGAGATGACTGAGACCATGCTCTAGACATCTCAGTCTATTTCTGCCACCCAGCTGGGTGACCGCAGAAAGGTCACTGAGATGTTTAACAAGAAGGTGGCAGAGTTCATGGATAAATGTGTCTGTGCAGGCTTTGTTTGGTGTGTAGTTGGTGTGAGGCTGTATCTCGTTGCTTGATGATTTGTCCTGCATGTAGATCTGCTTCCTGCACTTGAACTGCCTCTTCCAGCGTGAGTGAAAGCCTTTTCTATCTTCTGTGTTGAACCTTTGCAGCAGAAGACAGTTCCTCGTAGCAAAGAAGCTCCTTCTGCCCGTCACAAGAGGCAGTCAGGCCGCTCAACTGTAAGTCACCTGTGCATGGATGGAGCTGGTTGTGTGATTTGAGAGGATGTTGTAGGGCAAGGACAGCCCTGCCTTGGAGAGATGGACCAAGTTCTCCTTCCTTATGACGAGAAGCATTTGTCCTTTGGCATGTGGTCATAGCTTGCCCTATATAATAGGATTTTCTAGCAGGGCATTTAGGTCTCCCAGTTTGGTGTCTGGGGACTGCAGATCTGCACTCGCGTTTCTGAGCCTGCATCCGCTGCAAAGGTTGTGTCGGAGATTGGTTTAATGGTGCTTTTGACATCTGGCCCCTGCCCCTTTTTGGGTGGGTAGAGAATGGTCTCTTTGACCTTCCTGCTAGGAGCAGCTTGCACTGCTCCATGTGTCTCCCAGGGCCGGGCATCCTGAGACCTGCTTTCCGCGTGCCCCATATTCCTCCTTCTTCATCTTAACCCCCGTATTCTCTTCTCTTCATCTTAAGTGACTGCTGAGATCTCAGAAGCATGTCAACCGCGACCGAGAACCACATTATAATTATATGCAGGGTGCACTTAAAAGAGTATAAATTATTTCCTCTATTGTTGTATTCGGTTATAAATGACACTAAGTGCGAAGGCCTGTTATTTTCTTTCCCTTTGCCGATTTGAATTTATAGATAAGGGCCTCCTTAAAAAAAAAGCAAGCTCTTTTTTGCTGTTAAATACTTTTGAAGCTGGATCGGTATAATTGCTCCCTCAGGATGTGTTAAAGTAGTTTTAAGTTGTTTGAGAGGAATTAAAGGCTGGACCAGGGAAGGTGGGAGTATAGAAATACCGGGATCTCTTTCCAGCTTTCACACTGACTCGCTGTGTGACGTTAGGCAGGTCACTTCTGTGCTCTGTGCCTCAATTTGTCTGTGAGAGGGAGACCAGCTGCCCCATTTAAGGGGTTTAGCATGAAACTTTCAAAGCTTTTTGTGTGTTTAGTGGCAGTCTGTGATCTGAGACTGCAAAGAATGACTATCCTTTGCTCATCAGTGCCAGCTGAAGTTTCTTGAGATACGTTCCATGCTTCATTCTATAGAGCTAGTATATTCTTTTTATAAAGCCTTTAGAGAAAATGCCCTTGTTCTTAGATTAGCTCTCAAATTTTCTTCTTCCCTGAAGGCATGACTCTGCTTTGCTTCACTGAACCACTGAGCTTGGGAGTAGGTGAACAGATTTGTTTCATCTTGGTTTTCCTTGTTGCAGAGTGCAAGCACAACCGCTTCTGGGCCTGCTGGTGACCAAAATGAACTCCTTTCCAGAATTTCTCACCTGGAGGTAGAAAATCAAAACCTTCACAGTGGTAAGTAGGAGAATCTTCTGGCATGAAAGCAAACCTGGATGGGGTCCTGCTTCTGTGGGGTGTATCCCTTACTGGCTTTGTCTGTCGCCAGGTGAGCACATGCCAGTGTCTTGATCAAAGCTTTGCAGGCTTCCCTCTGACTGGGGCAACTGGTGTTTTTAAAGCCCACTTTGAGCAGAAGCAAATTTGTCCTGACTTGAGAGCTGATGCAGAGCCTACAAGATAAGGTTCTTTCCCCCCCACACCTCTTTTCGCAGTTGTTGCAGACCTTCAGATGGCCATCTTCAAGTTGGAAAGCCGCCTGAATGCTCTGGAAAAGTCATCTACCTCCCACCAGCCTTCGCCGGTTCCTCCAACCCAGGTGAGCCTTGGCAAAGCGCTGTTCTTGAACGCTTCACAGTCACAAAGTGCCAGGTTATTTTCGAGGTCTCCCGGTTGTCTACTGAGGATGGAAAGATGCTTATAGTTAGGATGAGTTTGCAGCTTTTCCAGCAGTTTTGGCAGCTGCCTCATCATCTTTCCCAAACAGTACATGTAGAGAGGAGTGTTCTGCCCTGAGACCAGCAAAGAAGCTACGTTAGAGATTTCAGCTGGGGAGAGCTGGTGCAGATCTGTGGAAGTTTGGATTTAATATATACTTGATTAGCATTTAGCTCATGGTGCTGTGAGTTTGTTAGCGTGCACCAGGTAAAATGCCACTTTGTTACAATAGATAAGCAGAATTGGTGACACTTCTTTTTAACAAATGTCCCCTATAAGAATGTATTTAATTTATGAGAAAACTCTGTGGGAGCTGAATGCGTGGCACCAATTTGATTGATTCTTATTGTAGGTTGGAAGATGTGCTACCGGTGGTGCTGGTGGTCTCTGCAGTAAGCCTACAGAATGCGTAGGCCCCTCCTTATGCTAGGGGAAGACACTTGGTTGCATTCCCAGCTGCTGTCCCACTCAGACTCTTATGGTCTAGATATCCGGAGCCCTTAGGAGAAGAATGAGCTCTTGGCTACCTGCTGGTTTTTGCTCTGGGAATATAAGTACGGCCGTGCTGGGCCAGTTCAAAGGTCCATCTGGTCGAATGTCCTATTTTGATGGCCGATAGCTGATTCTTCACTCAGATGGTGTGGGCCACGTTCGCTGTCTTGAGCAATGTAGACTTCTGTTCCTGAGCTTCTGAGTGCTGCTCTGATTCAACTTCAGGTTAATCTTCTCCCCTTTTTCCTTAATGCGAACTTGAACGCACGTCACCCCGATGAAGAAAGTGGAACCATTCAGTGTTCCCTCCAAGAAAGTGGAGCTCCCATCTGCTTCACCGGCAAAGAAAGTTGAACCAGCTGCTGCAGAGGAAGATGACGATGATGACATTGACCTTTTTGGTAGTGACGATGAAGAGGAAGACCAAGAGGCTGCCAAAGTCCGGGAGGAGAGACTGCGTCAGTACGCAGAGAAGAAGGCCAAGAAACCGGGTCTTATTGCCAAGTCTTCTATCCTTCTGGATGTGAAGCCAGTGAGTAACTGAAGTGGGGAAGCTCCTGAGTGAGGCTGTGTGTCTTGTGCTGCAGGAGGCTGTAAATCGTCTCACTTCCACGTCTGAGTGGACTGGTGAAGATGGGACCTGCAGATTTCCAAACAGGGGGGTCAGAGCGAGGTGGGATATTGCAGCTGGCATCTGTAGCCTTTGCACTGCTGCTCTGGTCCTTGCACTGTGGCAAGTGCAGGCTGTGCCCTTTTCTTTGAAGAAAAGACAGATAATAAACGCCCTAAAGATAGAAATAAACCTTTGTCAAATTGTCATGGTAGAACAAAAATTCTGGGCTGGCTAGTGCTTCAAGAGATGCCCTTGGTAGAAGTCACTTTAAAGTGAGCGCTCCAAAGTGGTTGTGTTGCTGCAGGAAAAATCCCGCTTGCATCTGCAGTGCCGGTAGGTAGAATCGAAACAACGTGGTATGCAGCATTGCTGCAAAGTCAGATTTAGCTTGGCTAACCCCATCAGCTAATTCTGGTGAAAACAGTTGCCAAGAAAGGGCAGCTTGGATCAGCTGAAAGGTACTGGGAGGAGTAGTGTTGAATTTTAAGTCACTGGATACCTCTTGGGGCTAATGGTGATCTCTAGGAAAACACTGCTTCACGCTTTTCCAGTGGGACGATGAGACTGACATGGCGAAGATGGAGGAGTGCGTCCGATCCATCCACATGGATGGGCTGGTGTGGGGAGCCTCCAAGCTGGTCCCAGTAGGCTATGGCATTAAGAAGCTCCAAATCCAGTGTGTAGTGGAGGATGACAAAGTGGGGACAGACATCCTGGAGGAGGAGATCACCAAGTTTGAAGACTACGTAAGTCTTTCAGCGAGCTGTGTAATGCTGGGTGATGCCTGACCTGCAGGGTCGTTTTTAACTAAGGTTCATTTGCAGATTTTGGCAAACTGGGATTTTTAAAAGAAAACCGCATGGAATTTTGATGGTGTCTGCCTGCTGAGACACTTGTGTAGTATGTTTAAATATATATTTTTTTTTAGGGCTGGCTGATGCAAATATCTTGCAGATATTTTGTAGAGCCATTTTGCAGGCTCTTGCTGCTCATCCAGCTCCCACCGACTGTTACTTTGGGGAACCCCTGCTTTTATGCTTAGCCTGGGCAGCACCGGGGTAGACACACAAATGTTTAACCTTGGTGGCTGGGGCTGGAGGAGTTGTCTCCATCCCCATCCTTCTTCCTTCCATGGAAATGGTAGCAGGAGCTCCAGCCCTGTGCCAGGTAATACGCAGGCTCAGTAATGTTCCCAGTCTCACTGCTGGGAGAGCAGCAGGGCAGATACCCGTTTTTGTTGATCATCTTTGCCTACTCTTTTGCTTATATTTAGAGTAAATCAGGAACTTTAATCTTAACGTTGCTAGAAACTCTTAATATGATGTTCTTCGACCGTCTAAAGATTTGTGCAGTAACTAGCGCAAGTGTCCTGATGCGACTGATCTTGCAAGGAATATTAAATAACAGTCCTTAAAGGTCCTCTTGCCAGAGCCGGGGAGCTGGCCTAAGAGACCTGGGCCATTCTTGATCTGTTTGAGCATTGCTAGTGCATGCCATGAAGAAATCCCCAATGTGCTTCCTCTGTTTTAAATGTCTGGAAACACCTTGGTGACCTCTAGCTGCTGCTTTTGTTCTCTTTCAGGTGCAGAGCGTTGACATTGCTGCTTTCAACAAGATCTAGAAGCAAAACTGTATCCCCTCTGAAACTGTAACTAATAAAGATGAAGATTCAGAGTGCAGATTGGATGATGTTTTTCTCTGCCGAGTGCAACTTCTCCAAAGTGATTTGTTGTGAGACTTCAGGATATTTCCCTTCCTTGTTCCCTTCATAGAAGGAAAAGCCTTGAGACGGGGGTGACCTACATTTCTGGGTTGGAATGAAGGTCTGAGTGGCATCCTGTCAGAGTAGCCTGCGCTAAGGGTGTTTGCACTCACCTTTCCCAAGGCAGAGACCCCAGTCAGTCTCATCAAAAAAATCCCAGGATGGATCACTAGGAAGCATCCAGGAATTGCTGTTTTGGGGTTGAATTTCCTCCCTCTTTTCCCCTTGCTGCTTTCGATATCCTGCACAGGTCACTTCAGCTGATCATTTGGTTTGTTAGGAACCGGGGCCATGCTGAGTGTGGCCTGTGGAAAGGGGAGGCAGGTGGCATTTCTAGCCGTAGGCACTATGTGGTGCATCGCGGTGCCAGAGTCCAAGGTCCAGGCGCAAGTTGCGCAGTGTCAACATGGAGTAAATCGGAAGTGCTGTGGGGTTGCGCAGCAAGCACCAGACAAAGCCACAGCAGCGCCCAGCCTGGGCAGTACACAACAGCCAAGTGATGATGACTCCAGTGCCAGCTTTCCTGACTGTGCGCAGTGCCCTGTGCCTGATGTGCCCCATGACGATGTGCAGGTGCTCAGGGAGCCTGGTGTTGAGCGGTGCCCTGCACATGCAGTGCCTGGTGTGGGTATGTCTGGGGCCTGGCTACTCGGGGGCCTGCTGTGTGCTGGGGTACGCAAGCACAGTGCCTGCTGTGCCCCTTGGGGCTGGTGTTGGCATTCACAGTGCTGGGGTCGATGGACATGGTGCCTGCTGTGTATGGTCTCCCTTGCCCCGGTGTTGGTGTGGCCAGTGTTTTGTCACGCCCGGTGTGTGGCATGTGCCCCGTGCTTTGTGTTGGGATACCTGGTGTGCATGGTGCCTGGTGCTGGGTGTTTGCACCATGTCCCCTGTGCTGATGTGCCTGGGACTCCTTGTGCATGGTGTGCTGTGTGCTGCCATCCCCAGAGCCCTGCCTGCCTGGTGCTGGGGGTGCCTGGTGTCCCGTGTGCCTCTTGTCCCATGTGCTACCATCCCCAGAGTCCCATGTGCCTGGTGCTGACACAGCTGGGGCCATGTGTGCCTGGTGCTGGGCATACAGTGTCCCATAAGCCTGGTCCCAGGTGCTGCCACCCCTGGTGCCCTGTGTCCCTTGTACCACCCTTCCCTGTGCCCAGCATGCCACATGCCCAGTGTCCTGTGCAGCCCTCTCCCTGCTATGGCCCATGTCCCCTGTGTCCCATGTCCTCCTGTATGCTGCCCTCCCCCCTGTGCCATGTGTCCCTTAAGCCACCAGTGCCCCACATGCCTGCTGTCCCATGTGCCCCTTGTGCTGGGGATGCTAGGTGTCCTGTGTGTCCAGTGTACTCTGTGCCTGGTGCTGCCCATTGTCCTACATGTCCAGTGTTGTGGGTACTCAAGTGTCCCATGTGCCTGGTGCAGGGGGTGCCTGGTGTCCCATGTGCTGCCACCCCCAGAGGCCCTGGTGTTCTGAGTGCTGGCACAACTGGGGCCATGTGTGCCCAGTGCTGGGTGTGCAGTGTACCATATGCCTGGTGCCCTGTGTCCTGTCTCCCCTGTGTGCTGCTGTCCCTGGTGTCCTGTGCCCTGTGTGCAGTGTCCCTGTGTGCTGTCATCTGTGGTGCCATTGTATCCTGTGTCCCCTGCGTGCCCTGTGTGCTGCCATTCCTAGTGCTGTGTGGGCCCTGTGTCCCCTGTGTGCTGCCGTCCCTGTGTGCTGCCGTCCCTGTGTGCTGCCGT